GCTCATGCCAACCATGAAACTCAAGTTGGGCGGCGCTCAACTCACACTAACTATATAGTTATCACTGTGCCTTTTTGGATTGAGCTCTTCTTGAGCGCGTTGGATCTCTTCCATCTTGGAATCGAACTGAAACAGTGCATGGAGTCTAAGACTGCACAATGCACTTGCCATACATCTAGTCTGAGCAACTTGGTGAAAATACATTAAGGGCACACATGTTGCCACCTTGGCTACTAAAACAATGCGTCCCACGCCTTACTCGCAAAGAGCTTCTCCTTCATCTCATCCACTGGTAGACTTCTCAGGGTAAAGGCCAATGCAGCGCTGACCCCAGAGACCAATGCAGATGCTGTGCTGGGTGTGAGCTTCATCCCCAAGACGCGCACATCTGCTCCAGAATTGATTCGGAGATGCTGTACCAGGAGGTTGGCAAAGGATAAAGACTCTTGGATCTGTTCACGTTCTTCGGCACTCGACGAAAGACCTGGATGAGACAAAGCAAACTGGGCCTGCAGGCTATGCTGTGACATCAGGTCTAAGGACTTGGCGTTCTCCATGTTCACCAAAATGCCGATCACGAACAAGGGTACTCCGAAAATGATGTAGAGTGTCATGGATAGAACTGATACGAAGCTGAACAAACCTGGCTCCCACTGCTCCTGCAAGGAAGAGTAAATGCTTCCCAGTGCCATCCCGAGTGTGGACATGCTAGCGACCACAACGGACACATCCATTTCGAGCTGCTCTGCAGCATAACGTGCTAAGCAAAGCTCCCGCACCTCCCCCCAAACCAGCAAATCTGAGGGAACGTGGATCCTTATTGCTGGTACAAACATGTTTTGGGCAGCAATGGGACCAGCGAGTGTGGCATTCAGCACCTTAAGATCAGTTAACCTCGCAAGCCACGCCTGCGCACAAATCGCAAGCTGGAACATGGTGAAAACAGCACCGTCGAGAATGCCATATCCAACAAACAAAGTCAACATCACTTGGTGGTACCAAACGCCATGGTGCCATTCCGGCATCCACCACACAAGAATGCACGACCCGATTAGCACAAGTGTAGCTGCACCTGCAGCTGAACCCCACATGACTGACACCCAAGCAGGCGTCTGTGTTGCAAAGCCGATGGACATCTGGCTGGCAAAGTCAGCCGCATTCAAATCACCGTCTTGCAAGCTCCTCTGGTAAGCAGGAAGCAAGGCCTGCGGAATGCTTGCTTCATCGGCTGGGCGGGCAAGGAGAGAAAAGTGCATCAAACCATTCATACGTTCTTGCTGTTCCAGAAAGCGATCCGAAGGTGGCCAGCGCTTCACCCACCGGGAACTCGCGACCAAATCGCCGCTTGAGGACCGCACTGTGATCTCGCAGATCGGGTCATGATGGAGCGCAATCAGTGTTTTTTCTGAAACGGTCCTCGATGGACGACATGGAAAAAATCCCTCCCTGACAGTAAAGTCTTCTGACTCTGAAAACACTGTCTCAAGGGCAAGCCTGAAACAGTCCTCGGTCCCATCCAAATTGTGGCAGCAAAGTGCGTCATGCGGGACGCCAAGTTGCCGTTCAACAATCATGATCAATTGCAGGAATTGGCGAAGCTTGACACGCTGCGGATTGTCAGAGGCAGATGCTGCCCGTGCCACTTTCACTGGAACTGTAGAAAAGGATAGCACCCATGGAAGAAGCACTGCACAAAGCGGCCCTGTGCTGCGATACCAGGTGGATATCATATAGTAAGCAAGGTTTAAGGCCAGGATGAAGGGTGTTGCCACTCCCTCAGAAGCACCATAAAAATCAAACATCCTCCAAGCCTGCTCCCACAACGTCATTTGCTCACTTGCCCAAATCGGCTTCAGCCATCCTAACTTCAGCATCAGGAGAACTGCGAAGCCTGAGAAGGGGAAGAACAGCCTCAACATCAAGCAAATGAATACATTTGAGAGTTGCAAAGTGGGAGCCTCGTGACTATGAAAATCCTCAAGGCTCAAGCGGCTCAAGCCGCTCCACCCAAGCTTCTCCGGCTCCTCCCAACCCCTCTCAGAAGTCTCAGTCAACCTGACAAGTGTATATTCAGCCGGATCTGTCAGAACGGACGTGGAAGCCACAACTTCATGCAGCGTGGAAGCCATAGCTTCATGCAGCAAATTGCGCGGGACCCTTGCTGGCCCCCTCCTCGGCCCGTTGCACAATGTGGCTGGGCTGCCAACTGCAAGCAAAAAAGATCAAAAAAGGAAACGTGGAAAAAACGTTGCGCCCATGTTAACGTTCATACAACAAGCGAAGCGTGAGTCGATTGAAGTCCACACAGCCAATGCAAGGCGAACGTGCTCGACAAACACAGTTTTCTTCGGAAGATCAATCACGCATCACCAGAAATCCCAAGTCAAATGCAGTGAGGCATGGCTGCATGGCGCACCTTGTCCTGCTGAATGCCGTGTTGTGATCTCATCACCTCAGACGAGTAGTGACTCTGGACATGCCACACCCCCGAGTCATGAAGAAAACACAAAGGATGCAGCATGCATATCAATTATCATCAAAGGTCTTACAGCCCGACCCTAGGTGACTATATATTGAAACCAAGCAATCGCCATCTTGGAGAACTATGCCTTCTATTGCCTTCTATCATTGTGTCAAACTGTCAATTCAGCAACCGACATCACCAGGTCTATTGCATCCGCCTCTGCCCTTCCGGCAGCAAAAACACCAGCGCCAAACTCCCCAGTTGCACCAAAAAAGACAATCTTCCAAGGACATGACTTTCACACAATGATTTCGATTATATATTTCCATTTATTTTCTAGTTGTCCTGGTTTGCTTCGTGGGACTCATCGACTCATCGGTTTGGCTTTCTCGAGGTCAACAGTTAAACTGGCTTAAACGCGCCTTTTAAGCTCCTACAGATCACGGCCTCACAGCACGCGGAGAACACGACAGAACCCACTTCATTCTTCACTCTCAACCGACTCAACCTAGTCGGCGTTTCACTTCCATAATGTTTGGTCCCTTTCTACGGCTCGGTTTTGTCATTCCATTGTCTCCTTTTCGGTTTGCCTTTGGCCTAGTAGACGCCGACACACATCTGCATGCCCGTGGAGGTCAATCATTATGTGTAGGCCACTAGAAAGTCATCAAGTCTGACCCAATCTCTCTATATATCTCTATATGTTGGGTCTATCCGATTACCTGTAACAGTGGATGATGATGCTTAGTAGAGGCCTTGTCCAAAAATAGTGATAATTGTTTACTGACTGTTACAGGTAATAGGACAGACCCAATCTATATGCTTGCGACAATCCAACGTTTGAAGAATTATGTGACACTCCATCTCCCCAACAGCCAGTTCATTCACTCAAAAGATGTTCTGATCTCCCAGACAGTCCGAAAGGTGATAGATGCCCCGGAAACACATGAAACTAACATGTCCAGGATGAATGACTCACGCCCCAATTCCAACCTTCAGAAAACTCGTTCGGTCATGCCATCACCAGCTGCAGGGATTCTCAGAAGAGCTGCGCGGGCTACGTAGCGCAAGACCATAGCGCGAGAAAATAGTGCAAAAGGGTTTTCGTTCCAGAATGCACAGTAAAGTCAGTTCTGCAAGCCTGCTGGGCTTCACTTGTGAATTCGGCTCTGGATCAAAGCACATCGAGTCCGAGAAACATGAGCCAAACCACAAAAACTGATGACTTCCAACACTCCACGCACTCTTGGCCAAAAATGACTCGAATGGAACAAGGTGAAGCTGCCCATTTTTAACAGTTTTGGTTTCCTAGGCCAGGATTTTGATACATTCTATTCCACGATCCGCAGATTCTGGAATCCCTCACTTTTGCGATCCCTGTGGCATCCCAGTCCTCCAGTTCCTGCAGCCTTTTTTGTCATTTCACCATTCCCCATCCTCCGTCCTCATGGAGGGGTTTTCCCCACCGGTGGCCATCCCACGCCGCGCCCTCTCCCCCGGGCTCATCCTGCATCGGCCGGCCACCGAATTAGTCTCCCTGACCAGTGGACCGCGCTGGACTCACTGGGTCGCATCGAGCTCAGATGGGTTGGGCACCTGGACCGGATCCGTCGTTCGACTCGGGACCGTGACAGGGATCAAGGATTCCCTGGCTGAGGCCAGCAGAGGCCAGAAGTGCAGTCCAGGCAGCAGGGATTTTCCGGCTCAGGTCGATTCAGGCCGTTTGGCCACTGCCACATGACTGTATGTAAACCAAACGAACAAAAAGCAAACATGCGATCAAGCACGGAACCTTCTCGTCTAAACCCTGGTCCACAAACCTGCGCACTCAACTCCCTCATTCCCGAAAGGAAATGACCCAACGGTTCAGGTGAGGTGGGTTACGTCCCGTTTGATGCTCAGAAATAATCTCACTTCCATTGTCAAATTATGTCAAATTCAAGGCTCTCTCAGGCACACTGGTCATCAATCATCAATTTGTTTCTGCATCAGCAGGAGTCAACGCAACTATTTTCAGCTACTAAAAGGGTCTGCGGGTGCACGGCCATCTATGTGTCTTCATGCTATCTCAATCTGTACTTTCCATCTAGCAACCTAGCAAAAAGTGAGTGCTTCTACATGTTCTCACGCTGCACTCCCCCTTGAGGCTTTGCCTCAACATTTCAAGACCTTTAACACGAGCCAAGCTCAAGACCCTATCATTCAGACGTCAAGGAAGGGATCATAGCTGCCACAAACCTCATAGCTTCCATCACTTCCACAATCCGACCCCATGCGAATTTCTCTTGGGCCAATTCGAAGTTCATCCCATTCCGGCTGAGTCATCTCAGCGGCGTCTCATTCGCTTCAGCCAATGCCTGCAATGCATTCCTTGCCATTTGTCCTGGCCCTCCAGGAATGCCTGCAGTAAAGTCTTTGCTCCTTTGGCGTAGCCTTTCCCACTCAGACTTCCATCCTGTGCCAGTGTCGAATCCGGCGTGGAGAAGTCTGTTGTCATTGTTGGCAAAGTTGATGAAAATGTTCCACTGCCCACGTCTTCACCAGCAGCAGGAACAGCCACATAGCACGGCGTACCATTTTCCGTGGCGCTGAGGATCAGCGAGAGATCAAGGCGAGGCATTTCTCGAGGTGGCCTGTTTTCAAGTTCAATGGCCTGCCTCATCGAATCATTGCGATGATACAGCCTTGATCCTACCTGTACCCAATACACAGGATCAGTACCAGGTGGTAGGTCCCAATTCTTCTCTGACTCCGTCAAAGCTTCTAATGCTTGTCGCAAGCCATCAGGTGCATCTGCCCAACGCTCTGCTGGCGGCATTGGAGGAGGCGCTTTGGCGATTGCTTTCGCTGTTCTTGCCTTTGCACCAGGATTCAGCACACTTGAAGCCCACGCTGCTGATCCAAAGGACACCTTTGGGGCAGCAAGTCCTGGAGGTGCTGCTGTTGAGCTTGTTGCACTCGACCTTCCACCGTCCGTACTCCTCTCCTTCTGTGCCTTCGCAACAGAAGGAGTTGACGACGATGTAACGACGGTCGGAGCCTTGGCAAACTCATATCCGTGTCCTGAAAATGCCGCACGTGTCATCCGGCGCTCTTGCTTGGGCTGCCTCAGTGGCTCTCATATCATGTGGAATGCGCAAGTGAGGTGGGAGTGTTTCTGTTCTTCTTGCCCACTCTCCAATTGGTCGCTCCCCCACATAGTAGCTCACCACCTCAGCATCTCGGGCAGGTTCACGAAGCTCGAAGAAGGTGTAGCCAGTCCAACGACCCTCAACCTTGTTGTCCTGTCTGTCCTCTTTTGTCGGAGGATCCACCCAGGAGTCTTCCGTTGGTCTGCCAGGCTGCTCACCATTGAGGTACTTGATGGTCACTCGACGGCCTGTTAAGACCTGTTCATCCCGGAGAGGGTAAGAACTGTCACTGTGTATAGGATGGCACCTTTGATACCGCAGCTTGCAGTGAATCCTCACCACAAAGTTCTCCACAACCATCCACCTGTCAGAAAAACCCACAGGAGGCTTGTCGAAAGGCGGATGCCACCAAGGTTCATGAGGCCGCGCGCGAGGTCTTTCGACCTTCATCATCTTAACCATGGCACGCGGTCGGCAGCTGCTCGAAGCAGCATCACGGGAGCCCTCAGGGCTATTGTGGAGAGGGTGGTTCCCCGCAGGAGGTTTATTCCGGGCCCTTCCTGATCTTTTCTTTTCTTCTTGCGCTGTGGCCCTCACAGTGGATTCAGTGCCCTTTGGAGGCACTCCCCCCGGGGAGAGTTCATCTTCCTTCTCCCATCTTTTTCCAACCTTTCTCAACCAGGTTGTTCCCAAGATCATCAAACACGCTGCAGCGATGTCCAATGCTGCCGACAGTTTCACTGGGCGAACAAAGATCAACGCTGCCACTATCACAGCTAGTGCTGCTCTCAGGACGAGGCCGTCATCTTCATCTCGGCTCTCGTGGATCTGCAGTGTTTTCAGCAGTGTTTTCACCATCTTGGCCTTCATGGAGCCTATCCCTATCTGTTTGCAGAACGTCTCAAAGGCAGTGCCTTGGAGTGCCTTGGTCAGGCCATCTGCAGGGAGCTCCGAGCCTTTGACATGGTGCGCAGCCCAGCCACTTGAAGCACACGCGACTGCTGACCCAACCCGCCAGCATGTAGGCGCAGATGTCTTGTTCTCCACGCCCCCACATCACCCATGCACAGGCTCAGGGCGCTGCGGTTGTCACCATAGATGCACCTCTGCACATCCGATCTCATGAAGCACTCAAGCAGAGACGCAACCCCCTCTGCTTGTTGGTGACATTCCATGTAGCTCAGCAACTTAGCTTCTGCAGTTGATCCAGTGACAAACGGTTGCCTTGAGGATGACCACAACACTGCATGCACATCCCACAACTGCGACAATCGTTCCTTGCACAGATTTGAACTGCTCACCCACTGGTGCGAACGATGCATCAGAGTATGCCTCCACATGCTTCAAACTCTTTGGGTACTTCAGTTCACCCATGTCACCGAAGGAAGCTTCACCATCACACTTTTCATAGATAGTCCCCAGTCAGCTGTCGCCTTCAGGTAACCAAGAAGTGCTCTGTCTTGCTTGAAGTGCCACCTCCGCTGGCTTGCGATGCATCTGACGGGTGAGCACACCCGTGAGTGATATCAGGCCTTGTTCGACCTGACAGCCATTGCAGTTCACCGACAAGTCCTTGTGCTTCTCGGAGGGTCGGGATGTCAAACTGTTCATCTTCTCCTTCTGAGATTGTCACACCACTCCACCACCCCTTTCTTTGAGCATAGGTCCAGGATGTACTCCTTCTGGTCAAGGTGGTATCCACTTTCTGTTCGCTCAACCTGAAACCCGCAAAACCACCTGGACCAGCAAGAACTTCACGCTTGGAGCACTTCCACAGCGTCTCAATGCATTGCAGTGCCGCATGGACTTCCTCTTCTGGGCCAACCGACACAATGTCATCGACATACGTTGCGACATAGCCACGGATGCTGTCCTCATTGATATTGTCCAGGATGTACCAGATGTTGCTTTCGGCCGACTGCTCTAAGTGACGTTCTCTGCCACTGCACAGCCACTTCGCATCCAGCATCTTGAGGTTTCTATGCTGTGACCAGTCTTCCGGAGACTCTCTGAGTCCATACAACGCTCCTTGAGTTTCCCAAAGACACTCTTCAGGCATGATCCCCAACTTCGTCACCACATGAGGCGGCTTGATGAGGGTCACTTTGTGTGCAGTTGATCTCTTTGGTGCCTGCAAGAAAGCTGATGTGATGTCTGTGGTTCCCAGTGCCCAATCTTGTTGAGCTGCAATCGTCACAAGCAGTCGAAGGCTTACCGAGTCCAAGCCCCCCGTCGAGACCGTCGCCGACTCATCTCAATTGCCAAAGTTGCCGCAGCCCACGATGTGAGCCTTCCTTCGACCACACGGAGCTTTTCTTGAGCAGAGCAACTTGCCCGGGATTATCTCAGCACCAATTGGCTGCATCCACAGTTCCTTCTCGGCCAAGACCTGCTTGTTACCCACCAGGTAGGTTTGCAGCACTTCAGTTTCCTGCACAGTGGCCTCTTCGGTTTCAGCCCCTAATGCCGTGAGCAACGCCTTCGTTTCATTCATGTTGTTTTGTGCTTGCCTTTGCAACCACCGAACATCCCGACGAAGGTCCTCAAGCCAGCTGAAGTTTGGACCGGCGCCACCTGCTACTCCCAAGGCCAGTTCATCCACCAAGACTTGTTGAGCTCCACTCAACACCTTCTGAAGCCAGTCCGACTTCTTTGACAATGCTCTGATGGCCACAGCGAAGTCATGTCGCACCTCATGCGCAGGATTTACCTTCTGACAGAAGCCACATACTTGCTCATCACGCGGTTGCTGAAGTCCACAGCTTTGGCACTTTTTCATGTTTGCCTTCTCCTCCGCAACAAGTCGCTTGACTGCAGCTTGAGCTTGACCAGTCCACTCCCCCCAGTTGCTCCAACTGGTCGGTACAGCCGATGTGGTGGTTGCGTGCCAGTCACGCGAAATCGATGTTCTTCAACATCCTCATCGGTGATCTCAACCAAGGCATGTTCAGCGAGCTGATCCTCAAAATCTTCAGCAGCTTCTGCATGTTGGCCTTCATCATCCTGGGCTTCTGCGTCTGATGGAGGTTGAGGGATGTCATCAAACACTTCCCAAAACTCAGCAGCTGCCTTCAGTTGCTCCAGGACGCTTTTTTCACCTCCCCCTTCCGCAAGGTCTTGGATTTGCTTTGCAGCC